CCGTAAGCATCCGCGGTGGCCAGTGCCGTCAGCAGCATCCCCAACAAAGCACCCAGGATCCCTGGCAGTCCGTGGACGTTGTGAACCCCACAAGTGTCTTGGATTTTCAGCCTAGAGCACAGGACAGGCTGGGAAAAGTGTTAACAGGATTTGGATGGGGAGTGACTGCGCTGCGCTTCTGTTCTCGCAGGTTTGGGAGGTGCAGCTTGCAGCATCCCCAACAAAGCACCCAGGATCCCTGGCAGTCCGTGGACGTTGTGAACCCCACAAGTGTCTTGGATTTTCAGCCTAGAGCACAGGACAGGCTGGGAAAAGTGTTAACAGGATTTGGATGGGGAGTGACTGCGCTGCGCTTCTGTTCTCGCAGGTTTGGGAGGTGCAGCTTCTCCCAAAAGCAGGGTGGTCCCCCCTGGTCTGGGACCGGTGTCCTCGGCTGTCCTCAGGCAACTCACTGTGAGGAATCTGAAGCCAAGCGGGGGGATCAGACCAGCCAGAAAGCCCGCGATGAGGGCCCCAAAAGGGGTGACCAGCATCTCTCCAGCCATACCCATCACAGCCGTGCCGGCCAAGGTGGCATCTTGGATCTGAACCTGGTGGAGCAAGACACAAATGGGGGAACTGGCTCCGTGAAGGATGTCAGCATGGGGCTGGGGGGAATTGGGCTTCCTTGGGGATCAAACTGGGTCTTAACAAACTAAAGAAAGCCTAACGAGCATCTCCCTTTTCTCCGGGTGTGTTCATGCTCGCTGACCCTGTAGGGCGGGACGTGGGCAGTGCATGAATCTCGGGTTTGTGCCCAGAAAGGACCCACCATCCGCAGGGTGCTCTCCTCATAGAGGACAGGCGAGAGGACGAAGGTGGCCAGGGTGCTCGCTGCCAGTGAGAAGTAGGTGTTGAGCACGGCCCAGGGCCCAGCGTTGTCACGGGTGGTGGTGGCTGAGGTGAAGCTGGGCCAGAAGATCCACAGGCAGATGGTTCCTGTGGAGAAGGAGGACAAACACGTTTTCATGTTGGGGTTAATCCCTCACAGGAAAGAAACTTCTTGCTGGCACTAAGAGATGCCAGTGGCCACAGCTTGCAGTGTGGGAGGTTCAGGTTGGACAGGAGGAAAAGCTTTTTCTCAGTGGTGCAGTTCAGGACAAGTCTCCAGGGAGGTGGAGGACCTTGTTCTTGATGGTTTGCAAACCTCTGCTGGTCAAAGCCACAGCCACCCTGTCCTAATGTTGGCGATGGTCCTTCCACCACCACATCTATGATTCCAGTGTTGGAGTCAAGCTCCCTACCAACCACAGCAAAGACATCTGGCTGGTGTCCCGTGTCCTGCTGCTCCTTCCTGCTGTCCATATGAGGTTGGTGCAAGATCCGTGAAACCATCAGGCCGAAATAAGCACCGAAGGTGTGGACGGTCAAGGAGCCCCCACTGTCGTTTACCTGGTGAGAACAGAAAAACACCGTGCAGGAAGGGGGGATATGGGATTTATCTTCAGCAGAGAAGGTGGTCTTGATGCGAGGAGACTGAAGTCACCCGCTTTCTGTTACCCCCTCCAGTCTGTGACTCACCCCCATGAGACCAAGTAGGATGTATTCGTTGAGAGTGAAGAGGGTGACTCCCAACAAGGTGAGCAGCAACATCTGGACAGGGTTTACCCTGCCCAGAACAGCTCCAGTGGAGATCAGAACGGCCGCAGTGCAGAAGTCGGCGCTGACCATGCTGGGAAGGAGAGGGAAGGTGCTGGGGGGAGCTGGTTGGGGGGGATGGGAGCTGAGTCTTCAGCCTGGACCCAGCATCCCACGGCTCCTGTAACGGGCAGCCCGAGCCTGGTGGTGTTGGTGACACAGGGACAGCTGGGTTTGAGGCAGGTGAGGGGGACATTGTGCCCCCTGAAATGCCTGGCTGTAACCTCAGCACTACTTACACACCCTTACCAGTGTGGGAGTCAAATAATCCAGAAGCCTGGTCCTACTTGTCCTCATAATCCTCCTCTAAAGCAGAGCTGTGAGTTTTACAGAGGAGGGAGCCAGTGTGCCAGGGCTGGACCTGGGATGACAGTGGCAGGGTGCCAGCAGCTCCCTCCTGCCTTACCTCTGAGCTCCCACGTAAATTTTGCCGTTCAGGAAAAAGTAGAAAAACCCCTGGATCAGCACAGCCCACTGGATGGCAAAGGCCATGATGAGGATGCTGATGGTCACGCTGCCCGGCCCGGGGCGACCGAGGAAAGCCACCAGGAGTCCGAAACCAAGGAGAACTTGGAGGTGGACGTCTCGGAAACCTGGTGCAGGAGAGAGGAGGATGGGTCTGGGGATGCCTGCTGGTCCCCCACCTACATGTCGCTGGAACCGTGGGGGAGCTGGCCTTGGATGTCTCTCAGAGATCTCTGGCAGAGTGCGGGAGCGGTTGTTGGTTGTGCT